CCAAACCTTTCTGGCCCCCCCCCCCCCCCCCAGAAGTTGCACTGGTAAGATTTCCAGGCTTGCTTGGTATAAGTATTACCGCCTCGCACGGACTCTTTAAAACCAGGGCGCCATCCGTCTGACTGGCAGTCCTCCTTCTGAGGGCGTCTGTAAAGAATCATAGAATGTTAGAGTCGGAAGGGACCTTGCAGGTCATCTACCCCAACCCCCCCCCCCCCGCCCTCTGCACGTTTGTTCCTTGTCCTGACCCTCCGGCTCAATTGAACCCATTCGATGCAAGTGCACGGGGCTTCGTATCTGTATCCGTACCCAATTGACAGAGACTGATCACCTGTAAAACAGGTTGGATTGTCCCAGTCACCAGTTTGTACCAAGGGGCTCATGAGATTGGAGGAGTCGGGCGTCCCTGACGACCATTACCTAAATCAATGGCGCTGCAGTGTTCCCTCTAAGCTGAGTTAGTGTGAGCCAGCTCACAGTTTTTTAGCCTCCGGCTCACACATTTTTGTCCTTGCTCAGAAAGGAGGACGCCAGAGCAGTGTCCCCTCTAAGGTAAGTTAGTGTGAGCCAGCTCACAGTTTTTCAGCCTCCGGCTCACACCTTTTTGTCTCTGCTCGGGAAGGAGGGCTCCAGAGCAAATTAATTTGTGCAGCAGCCAAACCACCTGCTCACAACTTTTAATGCCGGTAGCTCACAAAGTAGAATTTTTGCTCATAAGACTCCACAGCTGAGAGGGAGCCTTGCTCCAGAGCAAACTTAATTGATGCAGTAGCCAAATCGCTGGCTCACGACTGTAATGCCAGTCGTTCACAAGGTAGAGTTTTTGTCCATAAGACTCCACAGCTGAGAGGGAGCATTAAGACCCACTCGGTCTGCTTTTACTAAACCGGTGATGCCTGCCTTTCCGTTGCAGATGAGTACGTCTCCTCGTCTTCACGCTCGCAGAGCTTCGCTTCTTCCCTGGCCCAGGGCTGCGCGTCCAGCAGTGTCGCTTCGGCTTCCGAGAGCCTGAAAGCCCCTCCGGTGCAGATGGCGACCCAGATCAACCCCACCAAACTGGTCATCAAGCACAGCGGAGGCTCCCCCTCCGTCACGTGGGCGAAGGCTTCCCCTTCCCTGGATGGCGACGACGACGCCCTGCCCTCCAGGAGCAAACCGCCCATCAAAACCTACGAAGCCCGCAGTCGGATTGGCCTGAAGCTGAAGATCAAACAAGAGGCGGGGCTCAGCAAAGTGGTCCACAACACTGCCTTGGACCCGGTGCATCAGACGCCGCCGCCCGTGTGCACGGTGATCAAAATGGCCGACCAGCACTCATCGGCTTCAGCCGCCGCCGCCACCACCACCACCTCCGTGGCAGGGCAAATGAACGGGACAGTCGACCACGTCACTGCAGCACCGGCGGAGAAGAAGCCGTTGGTGACCTACTGCAGGCTCCCTCTCCGCAAGACTTACCGGGAGAACGTGGATGCTTTCGTGGCCGACAAGGCCCCTGACCCTTGCGCGAAAGGGAGTGCCCCGAAAGCGGATCTGGTGCCAAGCACCCTCATCATTAAGCAAGACGGCGGCTCCAGGAGCGTCATCACCTCCCACAAAACTCACGAGAGCCCTTCCGGGGCCGCGGCGGAGAGGGGCCGGTTGGAGGAGAACACCAAGCATACTTTTTTCAACCGGAGTGAGGCCCGTTCTGCGCAAGAGAGCCCCGCCCCTCCGAAGTCTGACGATGCAACCAGTGGCCTTATGAAGGAACTAGCGGAGGTTGAGGACGAGTTTTATCACCGGATGATAAAGACCGAGCCCCCGGACCACGGCTCTGCCTCTGATCTCACGTGGGAGGTTCCCCTGCCCCCAGCCAAACGTAGGAAATCGGAGTCCTTTGACGTCGATAACGCTAGCTTCTCCAGCGACAGCCCCCAGGACGATTCCCTGAACGAACATCTGCAGAGTGCCATCGACAGCATCCTCAACTTGCAGCAACCTCAGGCTGGGGGCCAGAACACCCGGACACCCTCCTCCTCGTACAATTCCTCTTCCTCCCCTTTCTCCTCCCCCGCCCACCGCACGGACACTTACCTTGCCCCGAATCACAACGGCGGCCTTGGAGCAAGGACGTTGAACAGATAACAGGAAAGCGGACCGAGCAGAGACTGTACAAAGTGAGCCAAGGACCGGGGCTGTAGCAGCTCCCGCTGGCTGGGGGGGAAACGGTTGGAAGCCAAGGTGCCACTTCCCAGAGACCCAGTGGGTTGAACCTGACACCAGAAGGAAAAAAAAAGCTGGGGTGGGGAGGGGTCTGGGGGGGGCGGGGAAGAGGATGTCCAAAAAGAGGCTTCATCCATTCAAGTGTCGATATGACGGGTCTTTGGTTGTTTGTAAAGTTGCAAGCTCCGGCTGGACTTTTACAATACACTCGTCTCATCACACGCACCATTTTAAGCAAACGAAAAAAAAATGCAGCTAGACGCGAAGCGGAGAGGCAAGCGGGAGGGGGTTGGATTCGGGGGCCCGTAGGTAGTGGTTGGCTGTGTTAATATTTAGATTCTGTAACAAACTGCTAATTTGAATCTCTGAGTTATGATGATGATCGGGTTTTATTCCACACGCACCCCTCCCCAAATCCCAACAAAAAGTTACCTTTAGGACATTTTTAACGAATCCCAAGTTGGAAGCCGGCGGGGAGGCCAAAGGAATTAATTTGGGGGGGGGAGGAGAATGCTCCATGGGAGATACCACAAGAGGTGGTCGTGTAATTGATCTTGTCGGATGACCTTTTTTAAGTTATTTGAAAGTATAAAATGTCAGCTTTTTCTTTTTCTTTTTTTTTACGTGGAAAAAATAATTCCGAGCAAGGGGGGGGGGGGAGAAGCGACACAAACACTAATGCTTACTTTAAAAAAAGAAGCATGAATTAAGTTTACAAATAAACCCGTTTCGAAAAGGAAAAGCCGGTCCCTTTTCGGACACGGGTGGATCTGGTTAACACAGCAAGCGATGGGCGGGACAAGGGAGAGTTCTAGCAAGAAGGTATTGCTCTGTCTCCCTCCTCCCCTTTTGCAACAGCACGGACCCCAAAATCTCGACAACAGCGTGGTCAGAAGGAAATAGCTTCACGCTGCACTTGGATGGCTGGGCAGTTCGCACTTTGAGGCCTGGTGGGGACGGGGGTTTGCCTTTGTGACCCAAGGAAGGGTGGAAAGCTAAGCATGTTCTCGCTCACTTATTTTTCTCTCTCTCGTGCTTTTTCATTCTTTGGACCCGGGCTTCTCCTTCGGTCCTCTTCCCATGGTTTCAGTTTACTCACCTTGGCCTTTCTGTTCTTTAACCCCATGGCTTCACAGCTCTCCTGACGCCTCGCTTACCTGCATGTGCCTCCAGAGTCTCTCTGGTATTTCACTCTAGTTCACTGCTCGGGTATCTCGGTACATTCACAGGTATGGCTTAGAGCGGTTGTTGTGTCGTCGTCCCACCCCACCCCCCACCCCCGCCGGAGAGGCATTCCCTAGAGGAAGAGGAATTCTAAGAACAACCAGCATAACACGTGGAGGGTTTCTGCAGGCGAGTTGTGTAGCATTAGGGGGAGCTGTTTCCGAATCCTCAGCCTGCCTTTCGTCTCGATTCAGAGAAGGGGGTAGCGAAGGAAACAGTCGCGTCCTGCTGTCTCCATCACGGGAGTGGCTTTTGGAATCCTCCACGCGAACCCAACAGCTACTGCAGAGCGCCATACTGGCACGCATCAAGAGTGGACAAAGGTCCCTGAGTGGGGAACCGTTCGTGACCTCTGGTCACTGTCTGCTCCCTCCGGAGATTTCCCAAGCGACACTGTTCATCCTCTGGTCCTTCCCCTCGCATGCCCAGGTTCTTCATCCCCGCGAGGCATTTTGACCCCATTTTCTCTTGTGCGTCTTATGGACTTGTTCATTGGGGATGGAGGCTGAGTTGTGTTCCTGAAGAGGAACACACACACACCACCCAGTATTTTAAGGTGGCAACTTGTAGCCTGCTCCAGAGAAAGCGGAGGGGGGGGTTTCATCTTTTCTTCCTCCACAGCTGGATTGTGTGAGGCAAAAGGGCTAAGACCTGCAAGCCAGGCCAGGCAGTGGCTTGTGAGCAGACGGTGTCTTGTTGATCAAATCATGTGCCAGCTTTTGAGTTAGACAGAATCCTTCAGCAGTTAGGTTCCAAAGGTCGCAGCTTCTCAGCTCTTTAAAGAGCAAAGACACTTACTAACCAAACAATTTTTTTTTTAGTCGTGTCAGGTAAGCGGTCCACTTGCGACCACATCCGCCATTTGAAATGCACGCCAAATAGTACTCTGGCTGGCAGGAACAGTTAACGTGTCTGAAGCTGTACAAACGCTGTAGAGCCGGATTGCTTCCGCCTGCCTGTAGCCACTGAACGTAGACTTGCTTTGGTTCAGACATGAAGCACCACCGCTTCTTCCTGATCTGAAGTCTGGTATGATTTGCAGACTTCCACGCTCTTACACCAAGAGAAGGTGATCAAAACTTAACTGCAGTGTCCTTTATTTTATATTCCCCACCCCCAACCACGGCAAAACAACCAAAGGGCAAAGCCGTGCATTGGATTTGCAGATTTGGCATCTGTTTGAAAGGGGGGTGGCCTGTAGTTGGCGACCCTTCAGGCCTTCTGGCCAAAAATAAAAATAAAAATTGGGCTGCCCTGTTGTATGATCCTTCAAGCCTTGCACAATTCCCCAGGCTAATTAATCTTCAGGGGACAGGCACCATGCAAACTCTCCATCCCCACAGCCCAACAAACCCCCGTCTCCATTTTTTGCTTTTAGGTACCAAAGCTCTTTAATACACCCCCCCTCTGTTCTTTGTTATGGAGAACGGAGGCTTAGACAGGGTGGGAGAAATCGGCTCCTGCTAAATAGAGCCATGTCCAAGAAGAACCAGTAACAGAAGTGATGTGGCCGTACCCTTGGTCAGTCCGCCTTGGGCTCGGAAGATGTGCACGCAACTTTCTGGGTCGGTGGCCACATGTGCAAAAACAGCACGCGAGCAAAGAGTGTGCCTCCTGAAAGTGAAGTCTCGTCGGCTGCAATCTGTTACCATTTTACATGTGCGTGTTGAAACGCTCTTCGGGTTTCCAGGAGACTTTTTTTTACAAGGGCAGTGGTGATAGACAGGGAGTAGAACAAGGCACCTGTTATAACTGTCTGATGTTACTAATATCCTACAGGGTGATGCAGTACAGAAGTCACGAACAGAGAGAGGGTTAGCGCTTTCTGTCTCAAAACGTGGAGGGGTTTAGAGGTCTTGTTGGGTCAGATTTGGCTGAGAGTCCAGTGTGAGTTCAGGCTTTTGGCGTGTGCCCCTAACCTGGTCTGTCGATAGCCCCCCTCCTACATTTCTACCTTTCCCTTAAAATCAAAACGGACGTTACATTCTTACATACATTTTAAAGAACTGCTGAGGTCTCCCAACTTGTATTTTCTTTCTTCTTGTTGAGCAGAGGACTGTTGCTCCTTATTTTCAGAGTTGTCTAATGACCAACAGCCAATTTATCCCCTACCAAAATTGGGTTTCTTGTTTCACGCCACTGCATCCCCCTCCCCAACCCCTCAGCTCTTCATCTCCTCCCCCCAAAAAAACTTATAAAAAGATTAATTCCTTTTCTTGACATTGCGTTTTTAGAATAAAAACAGGCTGATCTACCCTCCTGGATGCTGAACCAAAAGCAGACGGCCCAACGAGGCATGCCTGGAGATTAGCAGTTTGCCCTTTTGGGAAGGATGCCAGGTGAACTGCATTCAGCCATTGGCTATAAATCTTTTTATTTTCTCTCTTCTCCCCTCAGATTTCTTTATTTCTTCCCGAGGGGGGGGGGAATGCTATAATTCCAGTTTCCATGGCTTGGGAATTGCTTCGACTGCCTTCCGAATTCCTTCACGCTGTCCTCTCGATGTTTTTTTTCCCTTCCCCTTTGCCTGCAAAGCACGCTTGAGACAAAACTCTCTCTGATGCCTTCTTTTCTGAAGGGTCAGAATTTCATTCCCGGCCATCGCTCTGACGAAAAGATGACCAGCGACAGTTTTTTGACTCCTGCTTTCTGGAGACAAAGGCCGTGCCAGCCAGAACCGTTATGGATGCAACAGCTTTTCTAACTTTTACCTTTTCAAAGCAGCCATAATACAAGAACAACAACAAACCCGGAATTTCATTTTGCCATTGTGTTAGGGTGGGGATACTTATTTTTCTTTAGGGGGGGAAACCCCCTAAAAGCAGTCTGGATTTTCAAAACGCTGTTCTTAAATCGAGGCCTTTTAAAAGGATTTGACAATTAAAAACAGTGACACACTCTGGCCTTAATGTTATCTGTGTGTTCCTTTGATAGATTCATTCTGAGAAATGGGAAATGTAGGAGAAGGGGGGGGGGGAGAGTATGATTTCATGGCCTGCTGGATTTCCCAGGTCCCGCGTGCGCCGTTTTAGAGGAGCGGCTTATTTGGAGTCCTAAGCAATTTTTTGCCCTGTTCCTCCCTCTTCCCCATGTATGCATCAGGTTTGCTTCAAAGTATTTTCAAAACATGTTTTCTCCCATTTCCTTGAGCGCTGCTGTGAAGAACTGTTGCTGTGCAAACATTTCATGTTTGACTGTTCCCTTCCCAGCCCTGTTTTGACCAAAGGGGGGTGGGGGGAACCAATTGCAAAGTTCTTGGTTGTGAAGGTCCAGAGCTTGACCCATCTGTAGCTTTCAGTCTGGGCCTTTTTTAAAAAAAAATTATTCTCTTGCCTTACCATCAGCCAGTCACTAGCTTTTGTTGCATTTATTTTTCTTCTCTGACCCTGCGTCTGCTTTCCTGGGCCTGGTTATCCTTGTCGGACCCCTTCCCTGAGATAAGAGCCAGTGGCCTGTCGATCCGAAAATGTGGTTACAAAGGGAAAACAGGACATTCTGGAGAATGCTGGTTGTTGGTCCAAAAACTACACTTTAGAATCTGTTCCCGCCCCCCCAACCGCCGCCCCTTAACCTTTATTGTGTCTTGTGAAAGTAGAAGAAAAAGTTTGTGTCTTAAAAATGCAGTTTACCGGAGAAGAACTTTTTTAGGGACATTACTGAACCAAAAAGAAGGTTTTAAAAGGTCAAAGTTTTTCTCT